ATGGACAACTCAGTGAGGCTCTCTTTTAAGGCACTATAACGTAAAAAAATATAAACAAATGACAACTCTTCTTAAAGTGGGAAGGAGTTTATACTTTCTCTTTGGTATTTATATATTCTATAAACTTTTTATATTCTATAACTTTGTCGCGAAAACTTTCACTGGAAGTAAACCGCGCACGAACAACAAACGAGCACTTCTGAGATACTTCGCCGACCTAAACGGGGTTAGATCGCCGAAACAAAAGCCCTTGGTCGGGTAAAACCCGAGTCATTCCGGTACGTAGAACCGGCTGTCGTGGGAATGGAATAGACGAGACGGAGCTTTATCTGCCTCGGGAGACACGCACAACACTTGCACAACTTCGCTCCGGCCACTGCAGCAGATTGAACTCCTACCTGAGCAGGTTGAATGAGGATGTGCCGAATGAGTGTCCGGCATGCGGAGAGACCCCACATGACTCGAAACATCTCTTCGCATGCCCGGAAAACCCGACAACCCTAACGGCCTTGTCCCTGTGGACAAACCCCACAGAAGCTGCACGCTTCCTAGGGTTGCCGTTAGTGGAACTTGACGACAACGACTGAGATACCAACCGTCCTGGGCGGGTTTGTTGTAGCCGCTACAACAACAACAACAACAACAAACGAGCACCACAAACCAAAAAGAGCTAATGAGCATCAGGAAGGCCACTTTGCACTTAAAGCTATGTTGTGGATATATCGATCATCAAATATTGCTTGTGCAAAGTTCAACTATATGGAGATGTAATTATTTCACAAATGGCATTGCTAGTGATTTTTGAACTTTTATTCAAATTTCTGCAACTAAAATCTGGACACTTAAACGATACCCGGGACATTTTAAGGTTGGACCGGGACACCGGGACAAATAGTCTAAAACCGGGGCATGTCCGGGAAAACCGAGACGTCTGGTAGCAATGTTTATAACAGCAAAAAAAAAAAACCAATCCCACGACAGCGAGTTCTACGTACCTTAATGACTCGAGTTTTACTCGACCAAGGGCTGTTGCTTCGGTGATCTAACCCCGTTTAGGTCGGCGAAATCCCGCAAAAGTTGTACGTCCATAGCGGACTTCAGAGCAAGATCGAGGAGATAACAGTCTTCATGGGTCGCCACGGAATATTAATAGCTGTGGTCCAAGAGACGAAGCTACATCGCAATTCAACATTGTTGAATTGCGCCGGATATAACGTGCACCGTCGAGATCTCGATAGCGAGATAATGATGGTGGCCTAGCGTTCATCACGCACCACACCGTGCAGTACCGTCTTATCTCGAGCTGACATCGACCGCAGGGATACCACCCTAGAATGTCAGGGTATTGCTATCCGATCAAGCGATATCGAGCTCGAAATATTTAACGTATATATATACCCCTGTCACCAGCTGCCCAACAGGATATCACCCTGAAATAGATGCGCTCTTCAGAGGTGAAAACCGTATAGTAGTTGGTGACTTCAATGCGCACCACGATCTTTGGCATTCAACCTGTCAAACAATTGGCTCAGCTGATAGATTATTCGACATTCTGCACAATGAACGATGACGCAACCGAACGAAGGACGAAAGATTATGGACAGCTGCTGCAGCTTGCCAGACCTAACAATTGTCAGCGCTGGTCTGATAAACAGCACATCATGGGACCGATGCTGACGTTAGCATCAGACCATTTGCCCATAGTCATCTCGATTGATAAACCAGCCAACTTTGCTTCCGCGGAACACCGAACCTATGTCAACTTTTCTAACGCTGACTGGAAAGGCGGATGTTACTGAAAGCAACTTCACTGCAGTACCCACACCAACCGACGTTCAAGTAGGGTAGTGTAAATTCCGAAGGGTTGTCACATCGACTAGGTGTATGGTTTCAAGTTAGCACTGCATACCATATTTTTTTTTAAAATGAGAGCTACAAACTTTTTCTTTCCACAACAAATTTACAACAAAAGCAGTACAATTTGAGTTGTAAGGTACAGCAGAAAGCAATGCACTAGTGTATGTACATATGTACATACGTATGTAAGTATGTACAAACAGTTGGCCACAAAATAATAGAAGTGCGATATTTTGACTAGTTTTGACCAATTATCTTGTTTATTTTCTAGATTATTTTAAAATAAGTTTAACTGGCTATAAATTCACAATTTAAACTTTGTCAAAAACTATAAAAATTTCACAAATATTTCAAACTTTTTAATCAGAACCTTAAGAAAAACTTGTGGTATGCAGTTTTGTAGCCCATTATAATAATGGTATAATGAAGTGTAAGTTTCCAGCTGCTAAAAAGTCTCGTTGATTTTTGGCATTTTTTCTTTTCTTTTTTGGTGGCAGTGCCTTCCATATAAAAGAATATGTCGAACATACATACTTGGTATGGAAAAAATGCGAAACACCTTCAACCAAAAAAAGTCTCAAAACTCGACGGGATTTTTTTGTCAACTTGGGCTTTATTATACCACAATTTAATACGGTTTTTACATGAGGCGAGTTTACAAGCAACTTTTAGTTGAAAATAAAGATCGCCTGGTGTGAACGGCCTTTCAACTAATCGCCTCTAATGGCTCCAAAACTGCATACCAACATTTTTATAATTTTTATGCAATGTTTGAAATGTGAATTTATATGGTGTTTCTTGTATAGCCAGCTAGACTTTTATATAAAAATTTAATAAACATGAAATAAAAAATAGACAAAGAGTCAAAACTGGTCAAAATATCGCACACCTATTATTTTGTCGACAACTGTACATGCAAACATAAAAAAGCTCACGCTTTATCAGTGTTTTTCATTTCTATGCACACTTGGCTATGCAAGTGTACATGCACATGTATGGCTGTGTGTACAATTTTTAAATGTTCAATTTGTTTTGAACAATTCAGCTTTCACTTTTCCTTTCAATACCATTGTGTGTACATACATATGTATGTAACAATGATTCTTCCTTCAGCAATGCTTCAAGGTCAATAATTCCGATTTGGTCACAAAGGCTAACCCTAGGATATGCGTTATCCACATGTTACCAATTAAAGCAATCGAAAACTAAATAATTAATAAATTTAAATAATTTTTGCGCAAAATACCGGCAATCTTATCCTAAAGAATTTACCTATTAATAACTCTCAATATTTTTCGGATAGTGTACTATTTTTTCAGAAAAGTAAATTTGACGTTTATGTACATCTCGGTCGACCGGTTCGGACAAAGGATGCAGCAAAAATACCCACACGCAACAGATAAACATAGGAGAGGCTGGATCATGGAGTGAAGTTGCATGGCTTTATCAGGTATTGGTCAGCTAGTTTTCATTAAAAATATTATTATGGTATTATCTGAGCGATAATTTAAGGAAAAGTGCATTACAATTGAATCTAGATAATGACTTTGGATATTTTACACCGTTCATTCTGTACGCAGGGATGCCTCCCGAATCACCCAATTTTAATCCGATCGAGCAGTTATGGGACGTACTTGAAATCCAGATAAGGAAGCATATTACTTAAAACAACCGATTAAGGTGGGCCCTAGCAGTGCCGCTACAACAACAGCCTCAACAAATCAAATTAAAATCTTTATTCTAAAGGAATGTCGAATACTAGTTTAAATAGTTTTAATAAATAAAATAAGTATGCTGTTTTGCAGAGAAATATATTTGTTGCAATTTGTTCCTATTTTAGATATTTTTATATACATACATACATAAGTATCGTGTAAGGACGGAAACTTTTGTCCATGACTGTATTATTTGAAAAATTTAGCGAGTTATTTCATTGAAAACTTGGCGTCGATGTAGAATAGGCAAAAATAAATGGTGGTTAATAAGCTATGTCCTCCTATGTTGTATTTAGAAATTTCTATGCAGCAATATATTTGGCCATTCCATAAAAAAAAAAACTAGTAAAGAATCGAGCACGGAAGACCTATTGCTTCAAAAGATCCGAAATTGTGGCTCAAGTTCGGCCTTTCATTTTATAATTTGGCGACTGGGTAGATATCGCACGTTTAATAATATAGAGATTCAACTCAAAATTTACGTTTTAGGAGATTTCGCCAAACAATTAATAAGCTTGATAAGGAGAATGAGTTCATCGTAACAGATTATTAAACTTCCCAAAAATGGCGAAGATATGTGTATTTTCACCTATCTTTTGGTATACCAACTGGATGAATTGATCAAACTTTGGCTGCGTTTTCTCACAAATTTAAAATTTTGAAATAATTTTGTATATTATTAAACATGCGATATGTGCATATGTATTCCTTTACTAAATATATGAACATGCAATTAGTCATATGCTGGGAAAACTGTCGCATTATAAGTGACGTACTACCAAAACTATTTAAATAGTTCAACGAAAAGCAGCACAACAATTTATGTGAGTAAACACACAAGTAAGCAAAAGCTCATTTCAATCACCGGACCAACCAGTCGGCCTACTAGCTATTGTGGCATATGAAATAGTAAAATGTTAAGAAAAACCTGTTTTTAAGCATCACAGATAACACACACAGAGGCCTTCCGATCACGTTAGCACCGCGAGTTGTCCAAACAAATAGCCCCCCTCCAAAAGTCGAAAGAAAATATTCTTCAGGCAGATTGATCGTGCGTACATACATACAAACATATACCTATCGATATATGCATATCTACATGCATGAAAAGCGTATAATTGGAAGTTATATAAAGTGTTGAATGAAGCCCCTATTGAGCTACATATATACTAAACAGCTCCAGTGTACCGAAAGGGAATATGTATACAATACGAACGATTTACATATGTATGTTAATGATCATCTGTGTCAACAAAAGCTGATGGACTAGTAAATTCCTAACTAAGATATTTAAATGATGGCATCACAATTTTAAGCACATGAAACACGCAACTTAAAATATGCATACGCACAACTCTGCGCCGGTTTAGTAATGAAGCAATTTTTTCAGGAGACACCTTATGTCGAATAGTCCACGATACTACTTACCTTGATGATCAGTTCAATTTCAGGAACATCTCCATTACTTGTGCCATTGGTCTCTTGAGTATTCTCAACTTCCGACATCTTGGAAACGCGTGACGTATAAAATTCGCACTTGTTAAAACGAAAATACAGGCCACAGAAAATTAAATCCACAAAGAATTTGTTTGTGAGCCTAAAATATGATTCTGATCTTGCTATTGTTTAATCCAAACTGAAATTAATTCGCCTTGACTAACTTAGAGAACAAATGGTGGTAAAAATTAACCACTTTTTCAAATGAAAATTACTTATTATTCCAATCAATCTCGCGAAACATACGCCTTTTGCCGCAATCGTCGCACAATACTTTTATCTTTCTACAGAATATTGCCAATACGAACTAAAAGCAACGGAAAACCAGAGTTGCACCAAATGGCACTATTATAATTACCTACTTTAACTCTAACAGGGCGTTTTCACAGCCATTAGTGATCCAATTATGCAAGATCTCCTAAGATGAAATAAATGGCCCTGTCACACGGTCAGTAATTATCACGATATTTGGATAGCGATCCATAGTGATGGATTGATAGATCGCGCACGAATGCTACATGTTCAATACTTATCGCGTCAGTATTTGCATAATTTTATTGCTGAACGCTTATTATGACGCAAGAACACATTTTTATATTGTACGTATAATTTACAGATAATGTATTCCATAATTATTTTAAAATTTCCAATGTTAGTTAAAATTTTTTCAATTTGTTTTGAAAGGTTTTAAGCGACGATAGTGAAGGCAGAGCGAATACGTTTTCGATGTTCGCTTTATGAGGGTAAAATATGTTCTAACGAAATGTATGGATCGCGTTTTTAAAGAGGTATACGTTCAATATTTATTGACGATATTGCGATCCGCGATCCAGAGTTCAAAATTGTTAGAAATGTTATGGTAAATGTGTTATTACAGTACCCAAAGGAATAACGTAATTTTCTGGCTGATGTTTCTAGTTTCGGCGACATATTTTTTTTAATTAGCCAAAAGCAAATTTTGAGCCCGTGCAATACATTTAAATTATATATGAATAAAACATTTTTTGAAAATCGGTTAAGAATCACTGAAATAAACTACCGTCCCACGACAGTCAGGTCTACATAACCGCAACGACCCAGACTTAAGCCCAAAATACAATAGCGCAGTGGCAGTGGCAGCGGCAGTTTTTCGAAATCAGCTATTTTTTGGAAAGTGTGATGTTCAATAAAGCGTCTCACAATAGGTTCTTTGGCGTACGCAACGCGGTATCCCGCGGACGCACAAAATAGCCCAGAACTTATTCCCTTACTCAACAAAATGGTTAATAGAGCGCGAAAATTGGATCGTAACATTCTTCTTCTTCCTACCCGAAACCGCCCTGACTTTTTCCCCGGGTAAAAATGGATAAAGCGTCAAAGTGCATATCAGCTGTTTTGTGTTTACATATTGCCTGCACTTACCTGGTGTTTATCAAATTTTTGAAACAAAAATTCAATTTCCAAGGGTTTCCATTTAAGCGACAAAAACAAAAACAACGCGAATAAGCTGTTTCTCAAATTCTGGGAACGAAATGTAGTTTTTCGCATTCCCGTACTTCTGGATTATGTTCCATTTTTGAGAGCAAATTTTTCGCTAGTTCTCTAATAACCGGACCCGGTCCGGATTGTTAGGGAAATAACCCACTATAATTTCTACGGAAAGTATTGCTGATAGAGCCACAGCATTATATATGAAATTAATCATCTGCACAGAATATTTAGAAACGGCAATACTGTGAAATTTTTTAGATAAATTAAGTTTTTAACCTCATTGAACACACTCTAATAAACGTCATATTTATTGTATAAAATAAACAAGATATTTGTTTTGGTTTTTAATTGAATAGACTAGTTTTCGTATAATAAATACGTTTAAAATCATCAGATGTCACTATTTCCTGCGTATATCAATGTTGTGCAAGATCTAAGAAGCGATGAAGGGCCAGAAGATACTCCAACCACCTCGTCTACATGGTTGGCCAACAGTAGTTTTCCTTTAGAAAACGATGATATAAAAAATTTGGAAAATGTTGAAATAATTGAATCAAGTACTTCATCTAGCGAAAATGAAGTTGAACTCTCGCAATCATCGCATCAAAAAAAGAAAAAGCATAAAAGGAGTAAGAAAAGAAGAAAACTCGAGCATGATTGTGAAATCAAATTAATAGCCCCAGTGTTGGAATTTAGTGGCAATGAGGAGTACTACATAGATAAATCTAAGACAAAACAATTCCTTTCTATACGTACTTTGCATAAACCCGCATGTCCTCGGTACAGGCATTCATTTGGCCACATTTTGGGAGCTAGATTTTGGCACCATTCAAATGCCAACAAAAAGTCTAGTAAACGCTATTTTCTAGCAAAAGTAAAAGCTTCCAGTGATCAAAATTATAGTTCAGTTTTACCTCTAGACGAAAATGAATATAATGCACGAATGGGCCAATTGAATCGAAAAACATTGGAGGCCTCTTGCGATGTGCAAGTCTGGCTCGACTTATTGTCATTGCAGGATCAAAATCCATACAAATGGTCACGACTTTTGCTAGCTGAGAGAAAATTGGACATTATAAATCGTGCATTAGCTCGCTTTCCATGCAATGAGCAATTATATGAACAATACATTGATATTATTAACGTCACGTATCCTTCCTTTGAAGTGACAAAAATGTTGGATCGCTTGTTGCAAAAAGACCTTTATAGCTACACATTATGGACGGCGCAGATAATGACAACCCAAGGTTCGATGGCAAGATGTATCGTGCCGGACGTACTTCGTATCTATGAGCGTTGCATGTCTAAAATGCATCACGCCAAGCAAATGAGCACGCAATCCTTGGCACTAGAGAACCGTGATTCAGACAATGTAATGCTGCGTTTATTCAATAATTGCGCACTTTTCCTTCGGCAAGCGGGATTGTATGAGCAATTCATTGCATTGTTAAAGCTTGCTCTTGAACTAAATGTTTCAACAGATCATTTTAAAGCATTTGCTCCCTTGGAAACTGACCAAAACACACTAATTGAATTCGAAGAACTTGTTTTGCAATCAGGGTTACCTATGAATGAGATATGGCTTCGTGTCGAAAAACTGCGGCAAGGTTTTAATTTTTTGCCTTTCCCAGATAAGATTAAATGCAATGATCCACAACGTATCGTGTTCAACGAAGATATTTGCCACTATATCTATCCGTTAAATTCGCGAGACAATGCATTCTACCTGATACTGCTAATTTTACGGTTACTTAAAGTACCCTTTATTCAGTGTGAAGGAATGGCAGAAAGGTTTAGCGCACATCTGGAACAAATCGGAGAATCCGATGCAATTGAAGATACATTAACAGTTTGTATTCAACGGAATTTCGCAATTTCACAGGAGCTACAAAGAGAATTTCAAAAAGGAATTTACACACTAGCTAAGGAAATGGCTGTAAGTCCTACATTTTTAAGTAGCACCATCGGCCATGACATCTACATTCGTTGCATCAGTAGTTTCCTACTCGAATGTGCTGCAACATATTCAAATATTGATAAACGAAAGCGCGATCTCTTTATTGTACTCTGGTGCCGTTTTGAGCGATTACTGTTGATTCTCGAACGATGTGGTTCCAAAATGAATAGTGAATATATAAAAGAGGGGCGGAAGCGCTTTAAAAAATCTACTTAAGCAGTCACCTAATCGCAACGTTTTGCTTTTATATACTGAGTTTGCCATTTACGAATTTGAATCTTTAGATCAATCTAAAAATATGGACTCAGTAACGCACATATTTGAAAACCTAATTGCCTCACATTCCGCAGACGAGACACAAGCATCGGATTTATGTTACACCTACGTTACATTCGCGGAAATGCTTATCGGGAATGGGAGGCAAAGCAACGCATTGCAAATACTAATATCTTATGCTTTAGGTAGCAAGAGCCAAAATGATGAATCAATTGGATCTGGAAAAAAGCTTGCAGCACTACAAAAGATCACGGAAAAGTTAGAGCAATACATTGCAATCGAAAAAAACGTTGAGGTCATGGTACTGGAGCAGTATTTATTGCCTGATTATACTGTATCGTTGTTGAAGGTGCGCGTGCTAATCCAATGCCTTATTGGACAAAAATTGGATGCAATAAAATATATGAATAAACTACTGAATATATTTCGTGGTATCAATGATAGGCATAGGTTTCTACGTGAACAAATTCTGGAGCTATACGTGGCTGCACTGCAAATAACTTGCCCAAATTGTGTTGTGCCAAACGCATTAGTGCGTGACAAAGTTTTTGCTGCTCTCGCTGAGTTTCCTCGGAACCTATTTCTCCTGCAACATTGTGGCATGTTGAGCTCACAGCCTTGGTTTCGAATAAGAACTGCTTTTCTTCGTGCCAAACCGACGATATTGTCAGTGACATTTTTAATTGTTTTAGCACGTTATCGGTTCCTTAAGATGAACACCGATGAGTTATTTGCAAATGATGGTATATATGTTATTGAATGGGATAAGCGATGTAATGAATTAATCATACGTAATCGTATTCTGCACGTTTTTAAAACTTTGTCAAATGATAATCTGACTCAATCAAAAACGAGAACGACATTGCTAAGGAATGCTCTCTTTTGGCGATTATATATCCGATTTTTATCTGACCAGTGCACTGATTTTGAGACGAGCAAAAGGTGTCTTTTGACTGCTTTAGATGAATGCCCGTGGAGTAAAGCGCTATACCTGGATGGTGCGACATATGTGCCACAAGAGTTGACTCATTTGCAGGACCTAATTATTGAAAAGCAGCTGCGGATATACGCACTGCCCGAAGAGCTTGAGATTCTACGTGGAACTTGAACGATTGATTACTTTAGCAGCCAACGCTCAAACATACTTTTACTACTGATATTCATAACAGTCACTAAATAGTAATAATAAATACATACATACATATAGTTTATGTAAATACATTTATGCCTGTTATTTTATTTATGCAATTTGCATATTTACTGCATTCCTGACATGCAATACATATACATACATACATATGTACATATAGAGATGTAAAAAATGTTGACAAATAAATACATACATACATATGTATGTATATACATACATAAAGTTTTATATTTTTTAATAGCTAGATATATTTATTAGCATATAGGATTAGTAAATATAAAAGTAGGTACATACATATGTACATATAACGACGCGCATATCTTCTAATTTGGAGGATTTTTTTTTATTAATGGTTACTATTGATGTATCAGCAATATGTGTCTAAAGGAAGTAAAAAAGAAAATAAGTGTCCAAAGAATGCAAAATGGAAATTTCCACTGATGATAGCAACTGAAA